GTATCCTCATCTATGGAGGTTGGAAAACATATTGAGCTGTTTGAGTGGAATCAGGGGGTAATAGTAAAAAGTTTTCAGAAAAATGAAGAGTCAATAGTAACATATTTGCACTGTGCCCATTTCCCCTTTTTGCTTTAAAATGAAAGCATTCTTGCTTTTTGCGACCTTGATCTCCTCTGCCACGCTTCGCTTTTCCCAAAGCGGGCTGCACGAGTTGACTATTTGCACGACAGTTAACATGCTTAATGGGATGTCGGCTGCAGAGGGAAGCCAGCCGAAAGCAGGGTGGGAAACTCAATCAGAGTCATTTCCCTTCAATTAATGAGTGATTAACGCCGGGTCAGAGACACGCGGGTGACCTTGTGGCCTGTTAACGACTTGAAGCCGATCCATGCACCCCCGGCAGCATGCAAGCGGATGGACCGACAGACGGATGGCATCCTTCCTCAGCTTTCGCTTCCTCGTCGCATGCCTTCTTTTAGCTGCTGCCGTGTCTGTGCTGCGTGGCTGCTGCACTCTTGACTCTGCTTTCAATTGGACATTTGCGTGTGGCTTTCCTTCAGGCAGTATATGAAAAAAAAAAAACAATAGAAAAACGCCCCTGAGAAATTCCTTGCGTATAGAGCCAGAGCAGGTGCAAAACACAAATCAATGCCTTGTTCGAAGGCGGTAACCCGATTCTGTTCACATAACAAAATATTCGGGTTCGAAAAGGGGCTAACAAAGGTGTTTTAATCGAGTTTTTAAAAACCCAAATAAGAGAATGTTCGGGTTTTTTCATGTGTTTACATGGCATTTAAAAACTTAAATACTGCCAAAATTTGGATTTTAAAAAGGGTTATTTCACTGCATGTGAACGTAGTCTGTGATTGTGCAGCTCCTTCTGGTGTGTACGCATTGGCCACACGGGGGCAGTACAATACAGGCATACTGATAATGATACATGATGGTCACAACACCTCAATAAGCTGTAGTAATGTTGTTGTTGTTTTTCAGGGGATAAAGAATATATGCCTGCCTGTCCTTTGTTCAAATATGCGTTACTTAAAGGGTCAAAACACCATGCCAGACGCCAATGCTATTCATTAGCCTCCCTATGGTGTTTTGCATTGTGAGCCTTAAGATAAATAAACTTTAAGTTAAAGTTAGTTTTGTGTGACAGTCGCGGCGAGCAGCTTGAAGCCTCTTTTTTTGGTTCACTATCTGCCAAGGTGCTGCTTGTTGTGACTTACGGTCACTGTCACCTTACAGTGCTCGTATCTCCAATTTGTAATCTCAAGTCAAAAAAAAAAAACCATCCATCCATCATGTTTTACTCCTTTTTTTTATACTCAACTACATATAGCTTTTACCCCCATGCGTGTTCACAATTTTAACCTTGTGTAAAGGTTGAGTGAAGCTCGACTAATTAGAAGTCATCAGCGAATGCTGTCGTTGGATGTCAGCCAGTATGCGTCTCGATACCTGATGTTGGCGTATTATGTACCGAGACAGGTAATGATTCCATCGATTGCCATAGCAATATTTTGTCTCAGCCCAGCTGTTTCCTTTATCCAACACGTGTCTCCACCTTCTCACAAACAACCTCTCGTCAATTTCCGTCCTCACACTGCAGCCATTTACGATATTGCCCCAGCCCCCTTCGCCTTTTAAGCTGATGGAATTGTCTCTGCCTGCCTTTTGCTGACTCCCTCTGATTCCCCTTCGCCTCCTGGCTTGAAGTTGTTCATTGGGTGCCTTCTCCTCCATCCCCCTCCAACTCATTCAGTCGGTGGAAAGAAGGAAATGAGTTGAGAGCTTTGGCAAGGCCAGTGGAAGGGCTAAAAGGTTTCCAGTGATGAATGCAAAATGTCTTCTCTCACATTGGAACTTCAAATGTGCGTTTTCAACGTGGGCCTTGGCACAAGTACTTGCCCTCGATTGTTCTGTACAGGATGCTAGCTGCCCTTTAGCGCTGAGTGCTTTTGTTTTTGAAATGAGGACAAATCACATGAAATGACTCACTGAAACATCTTGATTACTTCCTCCACTTCCTGTTGACCAACTACACGTCTCGTGTGGAATTAGAAAAATGTGTGCAATCACTTCGTTGTACCTCACTTATTTACTGCAGTTTTTCTGACTTTGTGCTTTATTGCTGGTCATTTGCTTCTTTTTCTCTTGTGCCAGCTGCTGGTTATGGATAATAAGTGGACGAATGGATCATGACCATCTGTCATAAAAAAACAAAAAGCCATACAGCATGCGCAAGTACGTCCATATGTACTCCTTCAATCTCGGTGTGCTCTTAGACTCTTCTTCTTTTGAGAACCACTGATATATTTTTTAACACATTAAAAAAATAGATAAATGTCATCATATAGTATCAGACTGAGATGCTGTTCTAGCATTTATGCTCTCCTTCTCACTCACTTTCTTAGGACAGAAAATGTGAGCACAAAACACAACTGACTCACTGCCAGGTGACTGTAAAAAAAAAAAAATGTCTTTACCAGTGCTGGTCGTTTTGGGCAACTGTGGCATTGACCTTATCGTCCTTTTCAATTCACTTCTAACGTATTTGACTTTCATCTTTTTGACCGAGATTTGTAGAACTCCGCGATAGTTGCTGGTTGTGTGTCTCACCAATTTCAGACCACCGCAATCAATCATTATTCCCCTGAAAACGTCTGTCGCCCTCTGCAACTTTTGTCTGCTTTGCCTGGCACAAGCGTGGCAGCAGTGCACGATGCTTGGTGGCACACACATGCACACAGTGGAGCGAGTCAACTCATTATTGCTGTGCTCTTTCTCTACCACCATCTTTGTCTTACTCTGGCCAAATGCGTTTGACAAAATAGCTGCCTCTTTATTAAAGACTTTTGTACTTGGTCACCATTTGGTGTAGCGTTCGCAACGTGTCACAAATGAATGTCTGCGTACCTGGCAGAGTTCGAACTGTTGTCACAAATTTCCACTTTCCACAGGCTGTTCTAAATGAGAAGAAATTCAAATCAAATATGAGCACTGTTAAACTTGCCGATAACAAGGTGATCGTGAATGGTCCTTCTACAGGACGGGCGAGTTTCACTGGAAATCCTGTGCCTGTGCCGAAAAAATAATGTTTAAGTGTAAATATTTATTTATTACATATTTTATAGAATTCCATTTACAATTTAAAAAGATTTTACATTACTTCAGTTATATATTGAAAGTCACCTATTTTGTCCCAGTGTAGTTGCCGCACCTGGCGACCTTCTGCGCATGCGCCGCAGATCATGCGGGGGCCACAAATAGTGCAAATAATGGAGCCACAGCTGCCATCCACTAGAAGCCCGAGCACCAAGTGTTTTCTTTATTACTACTTTACAGAAATTTTAATATCAATTGAAGCAGCAAAACTGTCAAAACAACATTGGGTGTCGCCATGTTTGTAACACGTGCTGTTCCAGTTCTGCAGAAGCCTGCTTGTCATGTGCCTCTCAAACACAACATGCACAGGGGCATGTAGACCCACCACCTAGGCGGGCCGTAGGGGGCTGTGCTTGCCCCCCCCCCCCATTACTTGAAAAGACTACAGAATAACACACATTATCAACACTTTTGGATTGGAATGGCATTTCTATTCATTCAGTTAGGAAAGATGATTTGATATCCAAGTGTTTTGAGTTACAAGTGTGGTCACAGAATAAATCTTGTGCGTGCGTGTGCGCATGCGCGTGCGCGCGTGCGTGTGTGTGCGCGTGTGTGTGTGTGTGTCTGTGTTTCATAAACCCCTACCCTTTGGGAGTGGGGATGCCCTGCTGCCCTGTGCGGCCACACATTTCAAATGATCAAAAGCTACAAATTTACATGCCATTGTGCAGGTGTGCATAATGTTGCCCGTTCATTTGCAGTTGCACAAAAATACAGAGATGATCATCATCCGCTCTTTGTGGTTGCCAAGCGACATTTAACAGCGGCCACAGCAGCCTCAGAGGAGGCCGTTAAGAGACCCAGAAATCAGCTCAACTCCTCTCTCGCACAGATAAGAGGCGGCACATTTGTTCCTCTCACATTTTCATTCAGTGCCATTGCGTAACTTTCATTGCCCGACGTGCCATTAATTGTACTGAAAGGAACCAAAACACGTCCGTGTCTTTGTGGAGGTCTGAAGAAAAGACCTGGTGAAATAGACAGGGCCATAGGCAGAATTTTATTCAGGGCGTGGGTGTCCATGCATCATTCTTTATCATAGCATCCACAATCAGGGTTTCATGAAATAAAATTCACACACGTCCAAATCAATGGCCATCACACATCCATGTGTACTATCTCACAGTCTACATCAGGCTCATGCACTTATTTGCTAGCTAACAACCAATCCGAATGACCCATTGTTACCAACAACCGATGCCATTTGGCATACTACGATCAATGGCTCAATCATTCAAAACATCTAAAAAGCACAATGACACAAAAGTCTTTTTATTCTCCCTAGTTCTATGTTTTGTGCTTGTGCACGACTGTTGATGGTATGTTTCCGTGCTATGGTGCGAAAGGCATGATTTGGTTGACGTTGACTGTAAGAATGGAATGTTCCTTCCTTCAACAGATATTTTATTAGTTTACATTCAGGTCAGTTGTCGATTTAGTTTTTAAGTATCCAGTTTATATTAAAAACAAACAAAAAACTTGTGGAAGTGTCATTTGCATCCATCCACGAGACAGTGGCAAATAGACAAAAAAAAAAAAAAAAAACCACATTAAAATTTCATCTAGCTATCAGGGGGTGGGCACAGAATGACACAACCACCCTGTAGCTCTGCCCCTGGAAGTAGAGTGTGGGGATTCATAACTTCATAACTCACACTCCGTACAGGAAGAGAGGGAGTGTGCTATTTCTTTCAGCGTGTGCTACTTCTTTGATGGATGCCAGTGCAGGAATAAGAGCAGCTGGATACTAATCCTGGTTCTATGCAAGGATGAGGAGGCGACTAAGGGACAGGCACATGTGTGTGTGTGTGTGTGTGTGTGAGCGTGCGTGTGTTGGCATTACAAAGGAGGGAGATGACCAGGCATCCACACACTGAGATGGTGAGGTGAACGAAGCCGAGGCCGAGGCGGAGGCTCAGACGAAGGGGTGATGTCACCTCCGAGAGGCAGCCAATGAGGGGGAGGGGGCGAGCGCGGCCAAAGGAGGGTGTGTTTTTCTATCACTGCAGCATCAGCACAGCACCGAGCTGCGCACAGTAACCACGCAGCCCGGACCACACCAGACGAGGCGGCAACTCATCTGTTCGGGGACCCGTGAGAGGAAAGAAGCATCTGTGCACAGGTAGGAGCAGCTCATGTGCATCCGCACCCTTTTAAGGTTGGGAAGGTTGGGGAAAAAAAAAAGTAATAATAAAAGAGAAGGTGTGACGAGTTGCCTAATGAGGCTGCAGAGGTGGCATCATTCTGTCAAAGATGACTGGCGTATATTTCACATATAATTGTGTCCTCTGTAACATCTTCATTATGAATCGAATGCCCGTACACTTGAGGTGTGTCATGTCAATTCACTTGTCAAGTGTTCAAACACACCTTTGCATCCGCTGAGATTGCGATGATGACGGAATGATCTCTATGTTAGGGACCCATGGCTCTACTTGCGTCTCTCCGCTTGATTTGTGGGATTTTTTTCCCCCGCCCCCATGCGGTTTGCATGCAACAGGGTCTCACCTGACTTTCTTCAAGCTCATGATGCTGTCATTTTCCATTCGCACATATTTTGCACAAGTGAGCTTTTAGAAAGACGCCGTTGCATTTTCCCCAACCTCCTTCCACAAAATCTGTGGCGAAACGATGGCGAGATCTCGAGCAAATGATTTGCTTTGCCACACCTGCCTGCCGATTTAAATTGAAATGCCCCTTTTCTCCCCTCCTCCAGCTCATAAAATGCCTGGTTTGTAGATTTACAAGCCGTAATTGTAACATGCTGCAAGGGTTTTTATTCAGATGAAGCTTTATGGTTTATGACCTTCTGCTGGGAACAACGCATACGAAAGCTCTGGAGACAAGAAAGTGACTTAGGATTCAAATCAGAGCTGGCCACAGAGATGCAGGCAGAAGGAAAGACAGAGGTATGACAGTACATGATAATTAGGGTGGGGCAGCTCGCGCTGACGTCTGCCTGGAGGTGTGTGTGCGCGTGCGCGAAAATCGGGCACCAACCTGGCTGGCGTCATGCCCTATCTCTCTCCACCACGAAGACATGCCTGCTGTCACCTTCTGCTTGCCATTGCTTGAGTAGGAATAATTTCATCCCATTTTACAGACGCGTTACAAGCTTGTCTCATGAAAAAAATCTGTAATTATCAAACTAAACATCAAACTACTGTAAGAGAATTATGCGTGTATTTGAAACAACCACAAAGCTGTAAAGTCTGCTTAGCATAATGCTATCAACAATGCACAACACAACAGATGGGATAATGAATAGCATCGGTGTCACACTGCACACCTGACCGACAAAAAGTCTAACAACTTGACCAGGGCTATGTTCTTTATCCTCTGTGGAAAAGCATCAGTATTACTGCAGCTTACTGAGGCACACGTCTCTTCCACCTCTCTTTCTTTCCATGCTGTATGTCTGCATTGTCAAAGCACACATCCCACTAGGAGCCGTACAATCGCAGTGATTTTAAAATCATTCTTTCTATTCTCTCTGATGATGTCATTAGTATTTGTTTTTATTCGAGAGTCCTACTTTTTTTACTCGTAAGGCTAGTTAAAAAAAAAAGTGCAATGGTGCTTCGAGATTACTGTCAAACTAAAGCTAAATCAAAGAGAATTACAGCTAGTTTCAGTTGGATAAGCAGCTTTTTGTGCCTGAATGTTGATGGTGTGCAAATGTCAGGCAGAGGCTGGCATCCATCCAAAGACTTTTTTGCTCTTCCGGTAAGTGCGGAGGAGGAAGAAGCGCTTAGTTTTCACCTGTTTCAGCCTCGGGACACTTTCTCCTCCACTTGAGCTGCATGGGCGGATTTGCACTGCAGAAACAATAGCACTAGCGGTGACCACAAAATGGTTAATTAGCTGACGCTTTTTATTTTATTTGATTTACTTTGCTTATTTTTAATCCAAAAAGTGTCTCATCAAAAACTGCAGACTGGGTGACATCTTGCTTAGTCCCTGAGGCCTCCTGCTGAATGTGTGGCGGTCCTTCCTGGCCAAATGGTACTTGATAAGGCCGTGTGTTGTAAACGCCAGCACGCCATGCATGAGGCAGTGGTCAGGAGCGTCACATTTTAACACGATGCTCAGTGTCAGTGTCATTATAATGAAGGTCGAGTGTCGCCTTTGATGAAATGTAATCAGACAGAGTGAAAACAAAGTCAGCCCTTCTTTTTTTATAGCATTGCCTGAGACACTTCTGTGCAATATGAGAGTGACTTTGCAACTAATTTGAAGGAGAGCTTCCGAAATGAAAGGTTGTTGGCAAGCAACATATTCCACGATTACCCTCTGAAGGAATTTGCTCAAATGAGTTAATGAACTGTTGCCTAACCCAGCACACGTCCAATATTAAATGTGTTCTGCTCATGTTGGTGTTCCAATACCCTCAAACCATGGATTTGAATCTTCTATGTAGTCCCGAGTGACACTGAAACGATGTAACAAGCAGGGTAAACAATCATCCGCTGGGCATAACAGTCCGAGGCGAAGAAGTTATCTTTGGCATGCAACTTTATTTGAATGTTGGTCTGTAAAACGTTAGAGACCCATTGGCTTTGAGCTTTTAATAATTCAGCTTTTGACAATAACCTGCATGCTTTTGACGCCAGTTATAGGTTTGCATCGTATTTTTGCCTCTGGCAGCATTGCACACAACGCCAATTTTCTGGTACTTCCTCCCTGGGCTGACTGGCTGACCGCTGTTCAGAGGAAACCAAGTGGTGGCTTGAGAGCAGAAACCGGTGAACACAGGATATGTCAAAAATGACACTTTGAGCCTCCTCCCTGAAAGATGCACAATTGGCACGCCCTCGCCTTGTCTTTGTGTTCCTGTACACACGAACCAGTGCACCTTTAGCGGGCCCTCGGCTCACGCTGCTCTGAAAACGGCCGCTGTTTGCCGCAGAAGGGGTCCATCATCCACCTTCTGGGAGTCAAGTGGTGGGGGGGGGGGGGGGGA